CCCCCCCCCCCCCCCCCACGACAAAGGTCAACGAGCAGGGGCTGTCCCCTAGCATATGAGCATATATGACGGCGCGCCATATGACAGTGAGCATGTCACTGAGTGATGTCTTATTATTATTTTTTTTCGCCATCAATACATTGATGGCGGGCTTCCGAATATTCTGAAATCTTATTACAAAAGTTTATAGCTTCACAACACTAACTAGCAGCAAAAATGTCAGATGGTTACTGCAACCTCCATGGATTCGGAAAATATGTATACCCGCACATACGAAGTATTCGAAACATTGGAATTTTGGCAGTAACCATCTGAAATTTTTGCTGCTAGTTAGTGTTGTGAAGCTATAAACTTTTGTAATATTTCAGACCATTCGGAAGCTTGCCATCCCATCAATATTGATGGCGAAAAAAAATAAGACATCACTCATTGACATGCCCACTGCCACATGGTACGCTGTCATATGCTCGCTGTCGCCTGCTTGTTTTTCAATTTGAAAATCGCAGTCATGACTAGTGTTTGAGAAAGTGAATAACATTGCTGAAACGTAAAAAAATGAAGAAGAAATCGAAATGTCCATTTTACCCTGTTTTCGTGTTACCTTACAACTCCTACGATCCAGTCTTATGACAATGTGTTTGTTTGTATAAACTTCAAATGAAGTCAGAAGAGTAGACTTGACCCAATTCAACTCATTATTTAAATCTGGTGTTCATATTACCCCACCCTCCCCTAATTTTTTACGGGTGAGAAATTGCGGTAGAAAGGTATTTAGGTGTTTCGGTAATTGGGAAGAATCGTGCCACAAATTTATGGCTAGTGATTTGGGACACGCTCAGAAAGTCGTGGATTTAGACAAAAATAGGAAAACAGATTTTTTTTCTATGGGAGAAGAAATTTCTATAAAAGTAGAATAGCTCTTTTGGTATTTTGCAGTGTCATTTGTTATCAAGATGAGTAAATAATTGAGAAAATTTGAGGCAAAAATTTATGGGTGGATGTTTACTTTTTTTGAATCATTTTATTATTGACAGAGTGAATATTTTTATTCTCATTTTAGCATTTGTTTACAATCTATCTTTAATTTTAACCATTTTACTCACGTATCCACTACATCATATTCATTATTTTTTATTTTATTCTGAATTGAAAAATTATTCTGTTAATGGGGCTGACTGGAGGAGACCGTTTTCCTGCATTACCTTGAAGTGCCTATCTGGGTCATAGGTTCTGAAAAAAAATTAAATCATAAGAATCATCATTGAATTATAAATCATCAGATATCTCATCTTGGAGAAGGACTCGAAAATTAAGAAAAATAGTGCATGAATTTTACTTGTGGAATTCACGGTTTCGCTTCTTCCTCGGATCAACATAGACGAGTTTGAAGATGAATCCGACAGTTAAGCTGGAGAGAATGGCTGTAGTCAGGTGGAATTTGATCCTCTTGGCGAGGAATCCTCGAAGCTGCGGTTTCTTAAGAACTGTACTCATCGCTATAACAATAAAACACAATATTCATCAAATCGCGTGTCTAAAAGCTAAAGGCCGTAAACGTCAAAAAGCGACTGTCCGAGTTTTTTAAAGCAAAAATGTCGTATCTTCACTCATTTTTTCTACAATTCTCCGTGAAAATACTGATTGATCATGAGCTGCATATACGCCCTTTTGCCCTTAACTTATATTCCCAGAAATGAGCAATTACCTAAAAGCAAAAGATCGTAATGACGAACTTTTTTGTTCGCACGATTTTTTGCTTTTAAGGTATTTATGGCGAGGTCAAAGGGGATCGAAAAAAAGTCAAGAAATGGATGATTTTTTAAAATACATTCTTTGTTTCTTGCCTACAAAAGGTCGTTTCTCCTTTTTTTATGGTTCCTTTTTGGCAAAAGGCCGTATATACTTGTATAAGAAGATATACAGGCGCATTGACGATATTCTAATCTTCGCCTTCCATATAACCTAATGATGGGGGAATAGGAACCGAAGAGACTACAATCTCTCCAGTACGACTATACATATCAAGATAATGGAAAAAAATAAAATTGGATACATGACCTTTTCCCTTTATGTGAGACATTTTTCTAACTTCACGAAAATCAACAGGTCATTTCGCGATTGATAACTTGGGTAGAACTAATCTCGAGATATTTTAAATTTTTTGGGATCATTTTGTTGGACTTCCTCGAAGCAAAAGGTCGTATATACTGGCGGATATGGCCTTTGCCAGAGAAGGCCATTTTTGGTACATACGACCCTTTGCTTTTAGACACACGAAATCGACTTCAGAACTGGTGAGTGTTTTATGAATATTTTCACATCTAGAAAGATTTCAAAATTTTCGTGGCTTTTCTTTGGGACCGTCGATACAGATTCATCACATATTCATCATTTGTTACTAATTTCGATCCGTAGTTTTGTGCTCAGGTAATTCAATAAACAATGGGATTTTGCAGTGATATTCGCTAAATTTTCATAGCTTTGTGGGAAGAAAATCATGTGGAAAAAAGTTCTTTACGAAAAGTTTATCTGACCTTCACTTACAAGATATTTGCTAAGAATTAAATTGGAATGAAAATTATTTAGAATTAAAAATTGTGGAAAGAATTAAAAATCATGCAACATTTTGGGTAGAAAATTGCAAAATGCATCGAAAAATTCTGACATGTTCCGACACCATTTCTCCCCGAACCTATAACACACAACCCAATAAAATTCATTACATAATTCCATTTTTCGGTGGCCAAATGGAACGAATGAATCTTTGGAAATAGTATTAGTAATAACATAAAAGTTTTAGAAGGAAAATCTTCCTACCTCAGGATGTTAACAGTTTCCGTAATAAAACTTGATTCCCCTGAATTTTTTATCGCAATAATTCGTTCTTTCTTTCTAGCGTCACGCAATACGAGACACAGAGGAGAGACGGAGATGATAAAAACGATCAAGATTTTTCTAGTTTTCGGGGGCGAAACTCGTTCGGTCACATAATTTTCTCTATTTCCGACCATCAGAATCGTATACGTTGAGCTCCATCTATTGTGCTTTCAGTGCTATTCCACTTAAGGCACGTTTTTGGCGAGAAGGCAGAGATAACAGAGATTATAAGGGAGATTGCTAGCGCCTATGGAAACGATTCAACCGCAAAATTTCGTAGCGGTGGCGCA